TCGGAGGAAGTGGTGCGATGCCAGCTCCTAGTTCTCAACTAGAAGGTTCTGATAGAATTACGAAGATCGATCCGGGCTAGTGTCAAGGCTGATATCTTACCTGGAAGAGCGGCTTGTCGGTGGACGGCGAGGCTGGGATCTGAACGGTGTAGAACTTTTGCTCGAACTCTGGACCGTGGTCGTTTATGTCTGCCACCGCGATCACGACGCGGGTCGTCGACGACAAAGACGGCCTTCCATCGTCTCTGACTGTCACCTGAAACAACAGGAAATCATGAAGCTTCAACGGTACGTAAAACGAAGATTCACGACGTTCCGAGCGGGGAAAAAAATCACGACTATCGAGACAAACGCGCGGTGAATAAGATGAAGCACTCGACGAGTTTGAACGTATCGTATTCTAGATACTCTGAAAGTGTGCGTTCGATAATGAAAAGCCAAGAAGAGGAAAATGTTGCGAGCGAAATGGATCGACAGTCAAGCACATTTGTTTGATGAAGTAAAGTATTTGAATAATAGTATTTTTTTTTTTTGTTTTACAAAAATCAGACCAGATCTCTTGAGATGAGAGATATTTAGAGCGAGGAAAATGAATCAATAAAGTGAAGCATTTGCTGATAGATGCATCGTTCTAGATACTCTGAAACTGTGTGTCGTGTGCGATAACGAGAAGTCAAGAAGAGGAAAAATATTGCACGCGAAATAGAACGAAACTCAAGCACGTTCATCCGACGAAGCGAAGTATTTATTTAAACATTAAAATAGCGTTTTTTGCAAAAATTAAAACGAACGGTTTAATCACCAGGTCTTTTGAGACGGAAGCGAAGCTTCGCCAATTAATCTTCGATAGCGAACATCTATTACTCAGCCTTTACAAGTCAAGCGTTGCCAATCAGTGTCCAGAAAGTTTGGTTAAACTAAATTCTACCAATCCCTAGGTACGGAGCAAGTTATCCTACTGTGACGTGTATTTGCGTGTACTATATACAGTTTAACATCGATGTATAATCTCGAACCGTCTCGACGTGTTTACGGTAATACTCGAAGAGTCTGCCTCTGTATAAACAAAACGGTACAAATAATGTGTAAATAAAACAAAACATTAATTATAAACGCGAATCAATCCCCCTCCCAATTTTAATTTACCGTAACGTGAAAGACGAGAAACATCCGGTTCCAATCCAATATCCTGAAATTTAGAGGTTCTCCCCCTTTAGAGAAGAAAGTTCCCCCGATTACAGTCTACAGGAATTTTTTTTCTTTTTCTTTTATCCGACTTATCTCCGTCGTTATACCCTTATTTCGCGCACCCACTTGCGCCGCGAAATCCCGGCTTTTCATTCGCGAGTATCACGTGCGACGATCTGCACAATCGGCACGGCTGACCGGTTCCGTGCCACAATCGTAAATGTAAAAGGCCGACGAAATCTCGTTCACAGAGCAAAAGAAAAAAAAAAAGAAGAAATTATTCGACAGGAAAAGGTTCCTGAAAAGATAAGGACCTCCGCCAGTTTCCAATCTGCGAATTGACCTTGCTTGCCCGTACTATCGATTAGACATTTCATTTCAAAAGTGAATTTGAAACAGAAAATCTTTCGTAGCTGTCGTTTTTCCGAAATTTTATCAAAGTAGGAATTACCGTGTTAATTTCATTGTTAATTTGTTGACATAATGTTGAATATAGAGAATTTTAATACAGTCGGAAGTTTGTTTGTTCATCGGCACCACAAACCGAAATGAAATCTCGAACGATCCCTCTAAAGATTGGAGAATTAAAATTGCAAGGTTCCTTCGGAGTTTCGCCGACGTGAACTCTTTTCTTCAAACAAAAATCGAAGGGAAAGTCTGCCGTTTTTCTTTTTAAATTTAAAATTATTTATTTATTTATTTTGTTTTCTATGTAAAAATTAACCTACGTTACGTAATTTCCTTCATTAGATATCTTTCTTTCGTGAACGTTCTCATCTTTTGACGCAAAGAACTCGTCAGCTATTTGGACCTCCTCGAAATTGACTTGAATTTTTTTTTTCCATTAAGAAAATTTTTTAACCTACGGAGAAGATGGTAGTCGCTTAGGGCTATCCTATCCTGCCCTGAAGATTGTGTGGAAGAATTTCTCACTTGAGCTCTTCAATTTTTTGCACCGAGCAAGATTTGACGCACAAACAGTCGTTCGGTCGGTCAAATTTCTCTCAAACACTAACAATAAGTTTCGAAACAAATTCAAGCTTTTTAACGTGGTCTAATGCTTAATGTTTAATGAGCTCCAAGCATGTTTGCAGCATTAATGGATGTTAAAGTTTGCTTGTTCTCTATCATTGTGCGTAAAACATCACCATCAATATGTGATGATTTATCTGATTTTGATATACCTTTTAATGGCGAATCACCATTTCGAAAAACCTTTGGTAGGTTCTACAGGTGATAGCAGTTTCACTAAACACATCACATGAGTTTTTTTACCACCAAGTTTCACTTGCACAGCGCTATTTCTGACATTTATACAGTATACAATGCCTTGTGATACCAATAAAAACGAAAAAAAATAGTCGATTAACTCGAATAACTTCTACTGCTTAATATCATAGAATAAATACCTTTTAAACTAATCTAAATATTGTTTCAATAGCTATCACCATCTACCAGCAAAAAAAAGAAAACTCAGAAAATCGACATTGCAGAGAACGATAGAACTTTCCGTTACATTCAGTATTTGTACTTTTCGGAATCTTTGGAGAAGGTTTCCTCGCGCATCCTCTGCCGTTTCTCCCAATTTTTCACCTTCATCGTTATTGGAAGGTGGTGCAAGAACGAGCTGAAAACGAGCAAAAGAATGCGAACGTAACTGGGAAAGCGGGTCACAGACAGGACAATTATCAACCGAAAGATTATCAACAAGATGAAGGAGCAAGAGTTTTATTGAACTTAGGAAAATGACCACAATCGAGAACTGTCATAGTCAGAGCAGCAACTGATCGAGGATATAGTTCAATTACTTTCGAGCGGTTGTTCGTTTCCCCTTACGCATGGTTCTGCATGTTGGCATACACTCGACGATGGTGAAAAATAGCCGGTGTGTAATATATCGAGAGAACTCGATCGTTGGAGAGACTGTGTGTACCGGTCGTTTGGTCCGATAAGCCTGTATCGATTAGCCGATATCGGTTTATCAATTATTCTCGACGAATATTAGCCGGCAACGACTAACTCGCGATATCGAGACTCGAAGAAACTATTCGTTCATCGTTTACGCTTCATTCATGGGTATTGATTGACGAATTTTTTTCTCTCAGTTCACGGTAATATTAATTTTACTTGTTCTCCTCTCGTCCCGTTTCCCTCCCTCCC